TTTTTTGTGCAAATAAAACAATTATAATTAAACTGTTTAAACACGGTTTCGTTTAATTTGTTAAAATACTCAAAATACTCATTAAAAATTTATAATAATAAAATAATGTCAGATCTCAGGTAAATATTTATTATGTATTTTGCTAAGTTTTTAAAATGTACTATGTAACATTTAAATAAATTATTAATTTATAATTATACATAAGATATAGTATTTAAAATAGTGAATTCTAATAATGTTTATAATTTAGATATTATATTATTTTATAAACATTTAATAGTTTATAGACTAATAAATAATTAGTTTTAAAATTTTCTAATTAATCCATTTGTATGACTGATGACAGGGAATGCCTACTATTGGGTTTAGGGAACCCATTGCTGGACATCACATGCAATGTCGGCGAAGACTTTCTGAACAAATGGAAACTCAAAGCTAACGACGCGATTCTGGCGGACGAGTCGCACAAAAACCTCAACAAAGAGATGGTCGACACCTACCGGTGCGAGTATATCGCTGGTGGCAGCTGTCAAAACACCTTACGGACTGTTCAATGGATGCTACATAAGCCCAACATCTGTACATTCATGGGCGGCATAGGGGACGACCATTTCGGGCGCCTTATGTCCGAGAACTCTAAGGCTCAGGGACTCAACGCTGTCTACCGAATCGATAAGACTGTGCCCACCGGCACCTGTGCCTGCCTTATATCCCAGGGCAACACCTGTCGATCACTGGTAGCCTATTTGGGCGCCTCCCAAACCTTTGATATTCAGCACCTGTTGGCTAACTATTCCTATGTAGAAAAGGCCAAAATATTCTACACGACTGGCTATCACTTGGCTGTCAGTGCCGACTCGATCATGAATTTGGCTCAACACGCGCATAGTAACCCGGGTAAACTGTTTACCATGAACCTGTCGGCCCCCTACATTAGCCAAGCCTTTTCCAAACAGCTTCTGGAGGCCTACCTTTACGTGGATATACTGTTTGGTAATGAGACGGAAGCCGACGCTTTCGCGGAGTTAAACGGATGGCCGGTATGGGTTGAGTGTTATTATGAGATAGGATTTACTTATTAGGCATTTGTAAAGAAATTGTGAGAAAAATATACTGTTTTTGAATTATTATACTAATACAAAGTTTTAGACTTACAATTAATTATAGGTTTTGAATGTTAAAATTAATTTGAATTATGTTTTAACATAATGTGTATATTTTTGGCACAAATGTTAGGTTTTCAAGGCTAGTATAGTATTACGTATGAAAATAGTCAATGATTTATTAATGTATTTATTGATAACATTTGTTTAAATTTATTGCATGGTACTTTCAATAATAAGTTATTACAATTCATAAAAAATCACAATCATTAAAAATATGTAAAAGTTTTTTATATTTTTTTAATTAATTATATTTTTATGATACTTTAGACTAAAGACCGGAAAGTGATCGCCAAATTGGCCGCTGATATGGAGTGCCGGCGAAAATCGGGCCGAACTGTAGTCATAACTCAGGGAAAGGACTCCGTTTTGGTGGCAAAGACTGACTGTCCGGATGTCAAGGAGTTTGTGGTGAAAGCAGTGGACGAAAGCCTAATAGTGGACACCATCGGAGCGGGCGATGCATTTGTGGGCGGATTCTTCGCACAGTTAGTCCGGAACCGGGAGTTAGAGGTTTGCGTCGAGAGTGGGATATACGCCGCACAACAAGTCATTCAACAAATCGGCGCTCATTTCCCGAAAGACATGACTTTTGATAAATAATTACAAATATAACAAATATTTTATAATTTTAAATATTTAGT